CTGCTGAAGCAGGGTCATCTACAGCAGGCTGCACAGGACCTTGTTCAGGTGGGACCCTATTTTTGTGGGTGTCATCACTAGCAGAGTCACTGCCCAATTTGTCCTGAAATTAAATATTTCCTGGTGTCCAGCTCCGTACTCACAGCCTTACCTCAGCTCCGTGTGCTTTCTCCCTTATTAAACACATAACTAACAATGGAGACAGTTATTTTCTTTTAGCATCAGCCTGCATGATGTGTGAGAGCATCTTCCAGGAATGCTGCAAAAGCCATTTAGTCAGTAAAGTTTTAGGCAACCAAAGGGACATGTTTTGGAAAGAAGGCTAGAGGGTCTGTTTTTATTCTCTTGTCCAAGTGAATTAATTATCTCTGTCTGAAAATTTTTGGCTGCTATATGGTCATTGTAATCACAGATGTAATCCATCACTAGACGGCCTGCAGCTTTTCAGATGCCATCAGATGAATGAACTTGACCTGTGTTTGATCCTGCCCTGAGAAGCTTGTATAGTACTTTGATGGGGACAGCCCCTAGGTGACATGTGGCATAGCAGAAGTGAGGAGGTCCACTGGGAAGCTCCAAGAGATCGCTGGACGCTTGCCTTGCTCTTTCAATTGCTGGACACCTGCTTTTGGCCACCTCCAGAAATTAATTTCTTTGTCAGACAGACCTTTGTGTAGCCCTGGATGGCCATGCTGGAGCAGTCCACCCATGCGTCCCCAGGAGATCCCTCCCAGGGCCACAGGAGAAGCGATACTCTCCAGCCTCTCCCCCTCCATCCCTCAGCCTGGGGCCCACAGGAATGAGCCAACATCACTGCTCCAGTCCATCTGCTTTCCCAGTACAGGATTAGCTGGATTTTCAGGCTGTGAGAGCAGCTCCCAATGCAAATTCATTCGTGCACATCATCATTTTTGCAGCAATCTCTACGCACTGGCACTTGCCAGCTGTTTACCCCTGCATGCAGCTCTTTAAGAATGGCAAGATCTGGATTCTTTCTGCAGCCAAGTTGAAGTGTCTCACATATCTGCCTGTTAAATTTACCAACACGTTAAATGAAAGTGGGTTTCTCCTGGTAAAGGATCTCCGCTTCACTTGCTCAGACAATGCTATGCCAAATAATATGGAGGCAGGGATCTATAGCAGCAAAAACACATATTGAGAGAAGTATCTGCTTAACCTCAGCAAACGAATAGTCAATTAAGTAATCTGTGGCAATTCTGCAGCATCACATGCAATCACTCTGCAATTAAAACTCTATTAAACACATAGCTAAATGTATTGGAGACACTCAGGTTCTGGTTTTGAAACCCCAGCTGGGTAGCACGCTGTGCAGTTCTGTGCCTCCAGCCTCTGCCGCACGGATTAGGAGACCCTGACCTGTGTTTGTCACCCTTAATCTGTGTGCTTCAGTTTTATCATACAAGGGATCAAGCAGATTTAGGGTGGCAATCCTGCCCTGTTGGGTCTCTTCCCCAGGGATGAACAGGAAACGCTGGAATGTGTTAACTTTTGTCTAATAAAAAATGAAAGTTTCCTTTTTTCCCAGATACCTGGTGCCTTTTGCTGCTGTCTTGTGCCTGCCTGAGCACATGTTTATCAAAATGGAGCAGCTGCAAAACAAATGCTGGGCAAAGTGGCTGCCAAAAAGATTTTTTAGTATTGTTATCAGCTTTTAGGACAGGTTCTCCATCATCACAGGCTTGACACATGGGTTTCTTGGGTGGCGTCGGATGGATCAGGTCAGCCTGCTGGAGCTGAGCACAGCAGGGGAAGGATTCGACCCAACCTGTGATGGGGGTGACAGTCCAGGATGGTGTTTGTGAAGTTGGAGATTTCCTGTCTCTATTTTTTGAACCAAAACCAAACCAGACCCATTCCTCACTTCTAACTAACTCAATGAGTTTTTAACACGAGCAGGGCTGCTCCGTGAATTTCTGGTATTACCCACACTGGGGCAAATGAGGTGCCAAACCTACGGATCAGCCCAGAGCTGGGGAGCAGAGAGGGGACCCGAACAAGCTGACCCCAGTGTGCCGGGATGCCGGGCAATGATCCTTCCACCGAGCTGTGTCTTCATTTCCTTTCTAAATCAAACTCCTGATTTAAATGTGTATTAAAACCTGAATTATTGCATCCTGTGGCTTTCTGTTTTGTCTTATAATGGCTCTATTCTCTGCCCATTTGAATTGCATCCCAAGGAAGAGGGGAGAGAGGAAGGAGGAGCGGCGGAGGATGACCCCTTGTTTGTTTATCTCTCAGGAAGCGCTGCAGAGGGAAACATAAATTTTGAGTGACATCTTTTTCATTGTGCAAAAGAAGATTTAAACTCTGCCAGTCTTGATTTTCAGACTAAACTGGATGTGGAAGCAATCCTGGAAGTTAAATTCTATTAGCTTGCACTGAGTATTTTATTTTACCTTGTGTGTATCCTGTGGCTGAGGCAGGGAGACAGCCCTTCTTCAGGGCCAACGTCTCGAAAAACTCAGGTTGGGTTAGCATGAGCATGGAGCAATAGATCATGTGTAAAACGACCACAGCGAGCGGTCCGTGGCTGGTTTGAGCATGGGAGCCATGCTCGGGTGGGATTTTCAGCCCCCCATTCCTCTTCTGGTGCCATCTGAGGCTTGGCACGACTCAGAGCACCGGGACAGCGATGGGTAATGTGCCACTGCTGCCAAGTCACGCAGGACCCCAGGGATCTGCTGCAGTACAAAGCACTTGGATGGTGTTTTCCTCTTTGCTTTACTGCTCCCATCCCCTCCGGGGTTGTGATCATGCTGAGTCACAGCCCTGTGGCTCCAGCTCCAGGGTGGCCCTCAGCGAGGGTATCCCTCTGTCGTCTCCTCCTTTCTCTCCAGGAGAGGGAGAAAAGCAATGCTGCTCCCTCTTTCAACCACTTACACTGTTGCTAAGGCCTCCAGAGAAGCTCAGATCCATCCTTCCTTGATAGTTTTTCTCAGGTTATTTTGGCCAATTGATTTCTTTTTCTCTGCATTTCAAGGGGAGTTGAAACGCATACAGCTGGAGAACACCAAGTTGTACTTTTTGAGCAAAGGCAGGAGCTGTTTGGGTATGTACTGACACACCTGAACAACATCTCTCAGCCTTTTCTGTATTTCAGCTCATCAGCGGCTCTGTGTCTCTGACGCTGCCCAAGGAATGTACGCTCCAGCTCATACTAAGAACATATAAGACAGTGTTATGGGGCTCATGTCAGGGATTTGCATTATTGCTGATTTCTGGAGAAACAGTCCCTGTGTATTCAAAGCTCCTGGCTTTTGTACACTTGTTTAGTCGATACCGTTACAAGAGAATCTCTCACAAAGGGGAGCAAGTGTCACCGTGCTGTTTGATACGAGAGATAGTAAAAGCTGGGCTAAGTGTAGATGTAGCAGGCACTGCCTAGTTAAACCTCGAGGCACTGTTTATATTAGCACGATGCACTACCTGACAGGTCGTAGGCAAGATTTATACCAGCGG